TTGCATGTTTCTGTCAACTAGTCTGAATGAAGCAAAACTGACCAGTGCATGAACAACACTTCTTGACTTAAAACGAATCCTAACTTCTCATTCATGTGCAGCACGTGATTCTTCAGCGGATGTAGGAGAGAGAGGTTGTAGAAGATCATCACATTATTATCATTATCATCAACTACAGCCTGATACTTACAGCTAAACCACAGTGAGAGACAGAAAGCAGGCCTGACACCAGAACACTAGAGACATCACAGCAAGATCGCCATCAGCCCCTTGGGCTCCTAATCATTATAAACTGCAAAGGATTATGGGATGGCCATCTTTCATTGGACGCTGCCTGCAGTCATTCCCTCATCAGCTATGCCATTAAAACCGTCACAAATCAGCAGCGGCGTGAGATTTGAATTCAAATAGAGAGCAGAACGTTGAACTAATCTAGATCATACTCCAAACTAGAACTAGAGCTGCTTCGTAGCTGAAATTGAACTTGTTTCATTGAGTTCTGCAGCATTAACACAAGTTTATACAACATTTCTCTTTTTCATTTAGTTTAACTTGATGTACTGAAGTAACCAACACCAAATAATCTAAAACTAAAATATATATTTAAAAAAAAAAACTAATTCAAAGTATTAACAAAAGCTCAATAATATCTCAATGACAGTCAAGTCAAGTCACCTTTATTTATATAGCGCTTTTAACAATACAGATTGTGTCAAAGCAACTGTACGACATTAATTAGGAAAATAGGGTGTCAATAATGCAAAATGACAATAGTAAACTCATTTTTCAGTTAAAGACAGTTCATCATTGAATTCAGTGATGTCATCATCCAGCTCAGTTCAGTTTAAATAGTTTCTGTGCAATCATTTGCAATCAAGTCAACAATGTCGCTGGAAATTAAGTGTCCCCAACTAAGCAAGCCAGAGGCGACAGCGGCAAGAAACCAAAACTCCATCGGTGACAGAATGGAGAAAAAACCTTGGGAGTTTGGGAGCCAAATGCGAAAAAGCTCTACCTCCTTTAGTGGACTTATATATCCTAGGTACTACCAAAAGTCCAGAATTTTGCGACCTTAGGGAGCGTGATGGATTGTAGCGTGGTAGAAGACTAGTTAGGTTAAGGGCCTTATTGGCAAGTAATAATATTTTGTAAGTGATACGGAACTTAATAGGTAGCCAGTGCAGAGACTGTAAAATTGGGGTAATATGATCATATTTTCTTGACTTGGTAAGGACTCTAGCCGATGCATTTTGGACTACCTTTAGCTGTAGATGCAGGACAACCACCTAGCAGTGCATTACAATAGTCCAGTCTAGAGGTCATGAATGCATGAACTAGCTTTTCTGCATCAGAAACAGGTATCATGTTTCGTAACTTGGCAATGTTTCTAAGATGGAAGAATGCTGTTTTTGTAACATGGGAAATATGATTTTGAAAAGACAAGTTGCTATCTAATATAATACCCAGATTTTTGACTGTAGAGGAAGTAACAGTACATCCGTCTAGTTGCAAATTGTAATCCACGAGATTCGGTGTACTGTCTTTTGGTCCAATAAGTAATATCTCTGTCTTATCCGAATTTAATAGGAGAAAATTATTGGTCATCCAATCTTTTACATTTTGAACACACTCTGTTAGCTTAGATAATTTAGAAGTTTCATCTGGTCTTGTTGAGATATATAGTTGAGTATCATCGGCATAACAGTGGAAACAGCTCTATCTTTCATTTCAACCAGATGATCCAACGGTAGCTGCACGGATCTCAGGCTGCCTGGCAGACATCTCGGCATGGATGAAAGAATATCACTTACAGCTCAACCTGGCAAAGACTGAGCTTCTTGTCTTCCCTGCCACTCCAACTCTACAGTATGATTTTTCCATCCAGCTAGGTTCTTCTACAATTACCCCATCAACTTCGGTCCGAAATCTTGGTGTAACTTTTGATAACCAGTTGACCTTCAAAGACCACATTGCAAAGACCGCTCGATCTTGCAGGTTTGCATTGCACAACATCAGAAAGATCAGGTCCTTTCTAACGGAGCATGCTGCACAACTTCTTGTCCAGGCCCTTGTCATCTCTAGGCTGGACTACTGCAATGCTCTTCTGGCTGGACTCCCATCAAGCACAATCAAACCTCTACAAATGATTCAGAATGCAGCGGCACGACTGGTCTTCAACGAGCCCAAAAGAGCCCATGTTACACCTCTCTTCATCTCCTTGCACTGGCTACCGGTTGCGGCCCGAATCAATTTCAAGACATTGATGCTTGCATATAGAACAGCCACAGGCTCAGCACCCGCCTACTTCCACTCACTACTACGAATTTACATCCCCTTCAGAAGTCTGAGATCCGCTAGTGAGCGACGCCTCGTGGTACCATCACAGAGAGGCTCAAAATCACTTTCCAGAACATTCTCGTTCACCACTCCTGGCTGGTGGAACGATCTTCCCACCCCTATCCGGAATGCTGAATCCCTGACAATTTTCAAGCGACAGCTGAAAACTCATCTCTTTCAAAGCTACTTGACTTCATCATAAAAAAAAGTATCTCTCTTTATTTATTCCTTCTCTTTCTAGCTTGTACTTATTTGAACAATGTCTAAGAACTTGGTATTACAACCACTTCTTGTGTCTGTTTGCCTCTTTAAGAAGAATCGCTTTATGTATCCCCCAATTGTAAGTCGCTTTGGATAAAAGCGTCTGCTAAATGACTAAATGTAAATGTAGGAGTATGTCATGATCTATAGTGTCGAACGCAGCACTAAGATCAAGTAAAACTAGCAATGAGATACAGCCTTGGTCTGACGCAAGAAGCAAGTGATTTGTAATTTTAACAAGTGTAGTTTCTGTGCTATGGTGGGGCCTGAAACCTGACATGAAAATCTTCATTTTTTTTGCAGGAAGGAGCACAGTTGAGCAGACACAACTTTTTCTAAAATCTTAGACATAAAAGGAAGATTTGAGATGGGTCTGTAATTTGCCAGTTCACTAGGATCTAGTTGTGGTTTCTTAAGAGGCTTAATAACCGCCAGCTTGACAGTCAAACAACACGGACAGGAAAGCTACTGTAAATATGATTTTCTTCCTTTAACTTTTGTCTTGTTTTTTTTTTTCTGTGAATGAAGTGTATTTTTCTGATATTTGTTCTTGTTTTAAAACAAGACATTCTTATCTTCTGTCACTTTGCTTCTCCAGTAAATGTCTGTTGATTTGAGGGTGTTTAGATCATTTGTACCGGAAAGCAAGACAGAAACACTCATGAAGAATACACACAATTTCATTGGCGCAAACACAAACGGTCAAGAACACTGACAAGAGTTCAGCTTTAGCATGTCAACACATCCTTAAATGATCAAACAAGAGTGCATTAAACTCAACCAGAGCCTGAACTGCCTTTGCACTGGAAAACATGACAGAAGGAAGACAGACACACGTGCTCCATCATCAGCGAACACAAAGTGTTCACACGCTCCACTGCTGAAGTCATCATGCATTCCTCAGATCTTCACCCGAATGATTCAGATGCACCATTTCCACCTGCCGGAGCAGAAGAATCCTGCAGATGATCAGAGAGACGGCCGTGAAGAAGAAACCCCTTACACTTATAAAGCAGCACAGACACCACACACTAATTACAGTGTGCATAACACACAAAAATACACAAACACAAACATCCCACTGATGAAAGATCATCATTTAATATGCTTACATATCAGAATCAGAAGGTCAAAACAAACAAAAGAAATCAGGCTAAAACTAAATCACAGCAGCTCTTTTTCAATCTTCATCATCACAAAGCTTCGGTCTCAGTGTTTTCCAGAAACGACTTTATCCGTTCATTCTGGCTTTTACTGAATTACAATCGGATTCTGAGCTTCAGACAGCAGAGAGAATCAGAATCCCAGTCAATCAAGGCACAAATGTGACCAAACTTCAACAAATACAACATACAGGAGGTCAATAACGCTGAGATATCTAACAGGTAGTGTCCTGCTCTATCAGCAGAGGTCAAAGGTCACCGTGAGCATGAGTTCAGGTTAAACGCAGTCTGTTATCATTTACTTCAAACTCATGTGACTTTCAGGCTGATCTCATCAAACAGGGTTATAATCATTAACTAATAGTGTAAAAACTTGAAATGAAGCTGAAATAAATTACACAAATTACATGAAAAACTTTAGATGAAAAACAGAAATGTTGCATTGGAAACTAACTGAAATAAGCTGAAGCATTAAAAGTACTAACTGGAAATAAAAATAATAATACATTAAACTAAAACAGACTAATAATGGAATAAAAATGACATTAAACCTAAATGGTAATATTTAAAAAATAATACAAGTGCCTGAATCTTAGACTAAGCTGAGCGTGTCGTCTTCGAGCAGCAGCTACAAGCTGATCAATCCCATCAGTCACTGCACAGCATGTCCTAACCAGACCCTGACTGATAAAACCAGCCGTTTGGAGCCCACAAAACTCTCCACGACTGAAAGCTTCTGATTCACACGTCAAGAGATCCAGCTCAGTCGAAGTCAACTGTTCATTTCTATTCAAGTGTAAAATAAAGATGAGCTGCCTTTATAATAAATCCCCTCACAGTCACACAGTCATATAATGATCAAACACGAGACTGCTTTAAGAAGTGTGTTCTGAAAGTCTTCATGATGATTCTAGAATTTCATTTCATTCATTGCATCATTATCAGTGTTAGAATCCAATTCTGTATCAATGTACGGCAGGTTACAAACATTAAACCGTTCTTCTGTAGAGCTGCTTTACAGCTGAAACCACATTTGTTTAATAACTAATGAATGTTTACGACATTCACACTGTTGTTTTCCAGTGTATTACTGTGAAGCTGATTTGCTGTAGAAATAAACTTGACTTCTTTTCTTCTGGACATTATAATTTTTTGATGCCTGATTCTACTTCATAATTTTTTACTGTGTTAGAAGTTTTAATGCAAACTTTGTTTCAGTAAAAAAAATAAAAATAACCCTAATAAAATAAAATAATATAAAATGAATTAAAAATAATATAAATAAGATCAAATAAAACAGTGGTCTATTGCCCTGATGATCTGAACCGAGTCAGTCCCTGAGCGTGAGTCTTTAACTGTGTCCCTCATGAAGCTCCTCAGATCCACAGTCCCATCAGTGATCCAGAGCGTGCTTCCTCTAGATCTTGTAGAACCCCTGGTGCATGAGCGCTCTGAGCCGCAGCCACTCGCTCAGTCTCTGCGTGGGGCTCTTGTCTCGCGTGAGCTCGCTGACGGCTCGCTGGAGTTTCTCCTGGTTCCTCTTCAGATACTGAAGACCCTCGGCCTGCAGCTGTGAGAGCTTCTCCTCTCGGCTCTCGTCCAGAGCCACGTCCTCGCTCATGTAGGGGTTAAAGCGGAAGTACGTGTTCGGCGGGAGCAGAGCGTCCAGCATAGTGTGCACTTCTGAAACACAAACAGACGCAGACTCACTGCCTGATCCATCTGATGAGCGGTACATTTACTGCATCAGCATTGCATGTTCTGTTCCTCCTTTACTACATTTCAGTTGCTAAATTAACCTATTAAACTTAGTTACTGGTTTATTCTATTTGCTTTGCTAAATTTTGCATAACAAATGCACATAAAATATGTGGATGGAAAGATCGATTGTGAGTTAATTCTTACATAAACTGAATCATTTGTGAAATCATTTGAAAATAACAAAGAGATTGATTCTGCTTATGTTTCATGGATGAGGCTCAGTGAATCACATCATTATATAATGAATCATTAGATATACATCACATCAACCCATCAGATCCTCATTTTAGCAGCAGCTAAATGTGTGTTGACGGCTGGGAATGCAGCACTCGCACTGGGAGGAAGGGAATTAATCTGGATTTATAAATAACCTGTGTGATTACAGCACGAGCAGGTTTAATCTCAGCTGGAGAAAAGGCCTCTGGGTAAAACCAGCTCTTCCGTCATAAGCACTGCATTACTGAAAGACTTCCTGTTTGGCCGTGACGGTGCTCGTGGTCTGATTCCGGAGTGACAGCTGTCAGTCATCACACATGTGACGGGGTGGACCCACCCTCGGTGTCGGTGGCGCTGCTGATGACGTGGCTGAGTTTGGTCTTCAGGCTGGTGTAGGAGACGCTGGTCCTGCCGGCCGTCTGGAAGCGTCCCGTCCCCAGAGACACCACGCACTGCAGCGGGACGTCCGGCCACAGACACTGGCACTCGTGGATGGCCAGAGCCGTGGGGTTGTTGATCAGCATCCCGCCGTCCTGCACACACACCACACACAATGTCAAAATGATTGAGACGGCCAATCAAATCGAAGAGGGAGGGGCTTTAGTTCACTGAAGCAACACTTCAGTCTTAATGGTGAAAGAGGGTATGAAAAATGGAGCTAAACATTTAATATTTGACAACTGTTTTATGATAGATATATTAAACAACAAACAGTAATATCCAGTCATGCAGTGTTTTTTTTTTGTGGTCAATTTTCATTTTGAATTTCATCTAAATGTCATTGAGCTGTTTACGACATAACCATATAATTAAATTGAAAATTAAAATGATTATTTACAATTAGTTGCAAAGGATTCCTTTACAATATATTCTAGTTCTTTAACTGTTCTTGTTTCGTATTCAATTCCCTTAAATCGCTTTAAATCCTTGAACTGCAAATTTCACAGTTAGAACATGTTTCAACATATTAGGCATATGATTGAGTTAATGTGTGTGCATTTTAAAATAAAAACTATTATTTGCAAATAATTCCAATGGATTACAATACATTCTAATTATTTTATTGTTTTTCTTCCTTTGTCTTTATTCCCTTAAATCGATTTAAATCCTTTAATTGCAGCTATGTAAAACTACTTCTCTTTTTAATATAAAATTCTGCTATTTTGAATAATTTTTGTGGTTCCTTCATAACTTAATTTTTAATATTTTTAATTTTTAATATTATTAAATATATATTATTTTAATAACTTTTGTTGTGAATTCCTGACAAAGTTCTTCTCTAATGCCAGTACAATGTAATGAAGTGCAAATGATGCATTCAAGTGAAAGTGACGTGACATGTGGCCAAGTATGGTGACCCATACTCGGAATTAGTGCTCTGCATTTAACCCATCCAAAGTGCACACACACAGCAGTGAACACACACCTGGAGCCTTCACTCCCCCCACCCACAATCCCTGCCGGTACGAGACTCGAACCCGCAACCTTTGGGTTACGAGTCCGACTCTCTAACCATTAGGCCACGACTTAATGTTATGAGGTGAAAAACATTTCAACATGTTAGGCATATGATTACAAGTGAATATTTTTTTTTTATAAAAATATTATTTGCAAATAGTTTAAATGGATTACTTTACAAAACATTCTAGTTGTTTTATTATTATTATTCCCTTAAATCCTTTCTTAAATTGTTACGAGTCCGACTCTCTAACCATTAGGCCACGACTTAATGTTACGAGGTGAAAAACATTTCAACATGTTAGGCATATGATTACAAGTGAATATTTTTTTTTTATAAAAATATTATTTGCAAATAGTTTAAATGGATTACTTTACAAAACATTCTAGTTGTTTTATTATTATTATTCCCTTAAATCCTTTCTTAAATTCCTTTAAATCCTTTAATTATTTCATTAAAATTCAAAATGATTTTTATGGTTCTGGCCTTGAGTAATTCATTAGTATTTCACAGTGGGGTGAAATTAAGAAATCTGTAAATCTGGTTGGCATTCTATTATTTATTATTTAGTTTCCCTGAAAGACAAACAATGCAGTCCAATCTGAGGATCTGCGTCTGACGGGCAAGAGCCTGGTCACACCACAGGTACTGCAGTTCCCACAGTAAAATCAGAGTAAATGAATATGGCTGGTTTAGTATCTTATCTTGATTGCACTGCTGCTGGTTTCATGTGGAAAATGCGGACAGAATCACATAATCCAGACATAAAAATTTTTTATTGACTCTTATTTAACCGTATATCAGAATTTGAGTTCCCTTTCAGTTGGTCACTCTCAACGTCACGTCGGTGACCGACGAATTGGGATCTCGCTTAGAGAGACCAATCCACTTCGAGTGTAAACTAAACGAGCCAATGCACATTGGCATGCGATGATTGCTTCCAGCTGCCTCCGAGTATATATAGGCAGCAGGTGCAATGAATACTCAGCTTTTCGCTTCGGAGCCGAGCGATCACATCATTTTGCTCCTGACTACTCTACTGAGAGAAGAAGACTGAACGAGTTCAGTGCGCTCTTTGGAGCTCTTGGTGTTGGCGGTACAGCACTTCAGCAGTGGTGGTTTTCCCGTGTCGAGTGGGTTGTGTTGCAGGCGGCCATCTCCCCTGTGCGCTTCAGTACGCTGAAAGAGCTTTTTCCCTAAAAGAGCATTCACGGGTACGTGTTTTTAAAGACGACGTTGCATCTGGCAAACTTGACGTTGCGTCTTTGTAAAGACGATGTTGCGTTTTGCTTCAGACAACGTATCACCCATGCGTTTCTGGATGAGGTCGTTACCTGGTGCCGGATGATGGTCACGATCGCTGCCTCATGTGTCTGGGCATTAAGCATGATGAGGTGGCGTTCGTGGATGAGTCATGTTCTCATTGCAGGAAGATGACCATCTCGGAGTTGCGGGCCAAGCTCTGTTACCTCAAAAGAGGCGGAGCTCCATTGCCTTTGCCTCAAATCTAGTTCTCGTCTTGGCAGCAGTCAGGCGGGGGCTACTTCAGGCACTATCACGGGTGGTCTGAGGGTAACAGTGATGGCAAACCCCCCAGGGAACCAACCCTTGGGGGACCATCGCTCCTCTTGCACTCCGCAACCAGTTGAGCTGCCAAAGGAACATGTTGGGCCCTCTACAAGGAGCGCACCAGCAGTATCCTTCGGCGCTCCTCCCGACGATCGGATGTCGATCGCTGCATCGGAGTGTGAGCCGGAGCTTTCTGGAGAGGAGGATTTGGCTGCGATACTGCCCTGTGGGACTGTAGCAATGCCTGAATCAGACTCGAGCAAGTGGCGCCTTTGATGACACTTTCGTACCGCCCGCTGCTGCCTGCTGGCAAGAGAGGAGGATGAGTGTGATCCGGTGTTGGTTCGTCCACGACTCTACATGCCCTCTTGCGACCTAGAGACAGAGAAAGCGGCTCTCTTGGTCAGATCATCCACCCAGCCCTTTTCCGGGGGAGGGAGAGGTGCATTCATCATCCCCCAAAGAGCAGTTCCCTCTCTCTCTGGGTTGCCTGTCCCAGGGCCTCTTGCTCTTCCGCTCACCGCCAGGTTTGACGGGGGCCTGGAAGGGGAATGCCATCTCTAAGCAGAGGATGGCCCACTGGACAGTGGATGCCATCACTCTGGCTTGTCAGGTTGCAAGCTCACTCTTCTAGAAGTGTTGCATCCTCCTGGGCGCTGGCTCGTGGTGCCTCACTGTCAGATATTTGTAGAGCTGCAGGCTAGATTCTATAGCCTTCGTGTGGAGCACCTCAAACGGGTAGAAGCACTGAGAGGCCCTGTCTAGTGTCGGCTTGCTAAAACTGCTCCAGAGTGTCCGTACTGTAGACCCTGTCAAGCTCCTCCATCCCCTCGGCAGCCAGATGTGGTGGAACATCCGGTGCAGAGACCTAAGTGGATCCCATATGTGTAAATTCCATGGTATAGCCTCAGAGCCCGTGTTTCCCCCGGCAGACTTCTGCCATTCCAAGAGGGTTATAATCACATCTAATCTTCCATATGCACTTAAATGGTTGTTCATATGTGTAAGTGCTTCCGAAACCTTCTTCGGGAAGGATGGGGCTTCCGCAACGTTCCTGGTTCCAAGTGGTACGGGTACGTTTTCCGAGTGTTATCCAATCTCACTGAGCCTACACCAAAAAGGGGGGTGCAGGAGGCTCGCCCAGGACACTGGAAGGGGCAGCATCCATGGCGTTTTTGTAGGGATCCCAGTTCATCGGTCATTACTGACGTGACGTCGAGAGTGACCAACTGAAAGGGAACATCTCTGTTACGTATGTAACCCTCGTTCCCTGAAGGGAACGGAGACGTCACGTCCCGTCGCCACTGCTGCTGCACGACCGCTGAGCGGCCGGGTCACCGGCTCGGCTCCTCAGCGAAAACCTGAGTATGCATTGCACCTGCCTAGTTATACTCACACTGCGATCAGCGGCAGCTGGATGCAATCATCGCATGCCAATGTGCATTGGCTCGTTTAGTTTACACTCGGAGTGGATTGGTCTCTCTCCCCGACGTGACATCTCTGTTCCCTCCTTCAGGGAACGAGGGTTACATATGTAACCGAGATGATCTTCACTACAACCTGCAAAAAGAAAATGTCCTTTGAACTTAAAGAAATTAAGACAGAAATATATACTATTGTACAGTAGACTGTATTTCTGAAAGTAATAATAATAATAACAATAATAATACAATTAACAAATAATAAAATATATTAAACCATTAAACTGTGAAAAAATAAAACAGAATAAACCTGGACAAACCTGTTTTTATAGGCCCCTGTGGTTTTACTGTAGTAAATTCAGTATTTTAGCATATTTTACCATGAAGAGGAATGTGAAAGTGCCAATCGCTGCAGATGTTCCTGCTTGACCAATCTCATTTCCTCCACGTGAAGTTTTCAGGGTGCGGGGAAATGAACAATAACCAATAATATCACAGCACAACATTCACAACCCAATCAAAAACCCAATCACCCTACACTATTTCCTGCTCAATATGGAGTTTGACTCTGAAATGCGTCACATTACAGAAGTTAAGCGCGCAGTGAGAGTTTGATTCTTGTTTTCTCCTATAATAACATCTGTAAGTGAGGTGACTGAAGGTCTGTGATCCGTCTCACTGTGTGTACAATCAATAATTCATCTCTATCAACAGCTGCAAGAGCCACTGGGATCCACACAGAGCCACGCTTCAGCATGAGAGACAGAAGACCCCAGACAGACAGCCCTGAAAACAGACGGAGAGCAGCTGAATGAGCCTCAAGACTCGTTCTGTAATGAATCAGCTGTAACCGTGATCACGCTCTCATAACACAAGCTCATGTGGATGTCCTGCTATACAACGCTTCAGAACTGAAATAGTTATATTTTACAGTGGATTATTTTACTGTCAGTTTCTGAATGATTCCTCTAGTACTTCATACTGATGTCAGATCCTTGAAAAAGAGAAAAATACTAGAATAATGTATGCTGCTAATGATGTGATAGTGACAAAAACTTTATCAATAAATATTAATTAATTAATG